CTGTCTCAGATCACCTCCCTGTCCTCCATGTGCCTCAGCAGAGCTTCCAGGAGGATCTGTTCCATGATCTTCCCAGGCACAGAGGTGAGGCTGGCCGGCCTGTAGTTCCCCGGGTCTTCCTTTTTTCCCTTATCATAGCGGACACAAACCCTCACGCTTTTGAGATGACCCCGGCGAGAGATTTACAGTTCCCAGGGCTCGCTCAGCCTTGCTTAACTAGATGAACAAGCCCGTCCTGTGCAGACCGATCTCTCGCCTGCCCGCGCACACGCAGGTAGCTCTAAATCCATTATGTAAACGGGTCCGTGGCAGGGCAGGCAGCCCTGCCAGGAATTTGGGAGGCAGGGAAGAAGGAGGAGCAATCATCTTCAGTTTACTCTGATGATGCAATAGGGAACCTGGTAAAAGAGCTGGCCTTGTTTTTAGCCCTCCTCTTGCAAAGGCTGGGCGCTCGGGACACATGCTGCTCTTCGCCTCGGAGCAAAATGCCACGTAGGGAGAGCAAAAGTGAGTATTGGCTCGGTGCGGGAGAAGGGGCTGTTTGCTGAAGGTGGGCAGGGGAGGAATCGGGTGGTTATCACAAGTCTTAACACATCATCTGCGGGAACGTGCATTTTCGCTGCTGGAGTAACCCTGCACACCTTCCTCACAAATTAAATTTAGAAATTGTCCCGAAAATTCATCAAGGCTGGCTCTCCCGCCTGCCCCTCACGCTCTAGGAGAAGGGAAAATTGTCAGGCACTCTCCTGGCTGTCACTGGCTTCCAAACAAGCGCTGCATTGTGCGTTCCCTGGGTAGGAGCGGGATTCCGCAGGACAGCAGGGTCCTTCCAGGACTGAACTTCTCGCAGACGGTCTGCTCGGCCAGGAGAGTTTGGGGTAATGCTCTCTGTAATGGTGCAGAAATAGCCACAGGTTTCTCTTGGATCTGGCTTGTTCGGTCCCAGTTAATCATTACGGTAACACCGCGGGGCTGCCATTACATCACACCCTGCCCCGTGATGGCTTTTTTTAAACTAATCTGAATAAATAAACTGCCGGCTAGCTGGCCTCCTCTCACCGTGTGGGAGAGGGAGAGTCCAGGCACGGCGGTGTGGTCTCCTAGGGTGGCTTTACAGCAGTACATATTATTTTCATTTGGTCATCTCTTAACAGCCCCGTTAGCATTAGCTGTGAGGGCAGAACAGTTCTCACTTTGCTCTACCTGTGGGTCTTGCCCGGCATCTGCCAGGTTTTTCTGTGTTTCCAGGGACCCTCACTCACTCCTTCCTTTTCTGCTTCTCTTTCACCCCTCCAGAAGATGCCTCTGGGGAGCACGGGGAGGCCGTCAGCACGATTTCCAGCAGCATGAACCCGCTGCAGCCGCCGGACGCCTCCTCCTCGGAGCCTTTTACCACCTACTTTGACAGCAAGATCCCGATTCCCGAAGATGAAACGGTGAGTGCGGCTGGGCCCTCCTCCGCTCGCTCCCATAGGAAAATCCGATCGGAAAAATCCACCAGCGCTTGGTACCCGCGTGAGTCATTCCCTCGGGTGCCGGTTCCCCTTCTTGCCTGGGCTGGGAAGGGTGGCCGGGCTGCTGGATGGGGATCTGGGGGAGAAGAGGGTGCGGGATCTCCCGTGCCTGCTGTGGAGTTAATGAACCATCGCTCAGGATTCGTCTCCTGCAAAGCTCCCTGCAGCGAGACCTGCTAAAGAGCAGAGACAGGTCTTGTTTGTGGCCCCAGGGGAGGGGAGGACCTTGGCTCTTTGTTCCCTTATCAAGGAAGGGCTTCGCTGGCTTTTGCAACAGCGTCGTCCCCTTCGTGGCGGGGGGTGGGCGGGGTATAGGTGCCCTCTTTGCTTTTGATTAAGCAGCAAGGCAGGATTTTCAGCCGCAGGCACAGGAGGATTCACCTCCTGCCCAAGAGCGTGTCCTTGGCTGTCCCAGAGTCTGGTCCGAAACTCTTTAGACTAGGACCGGAGATGGCTGGAGAGTTTAGGACTGGATTAAAGAACAGACTGATCTTACCAGCGCCGCTTTCTGTTGTGGCAGCGAGGAAATTAAAATCAAACCCTGGCTGTCCCTTGTCATTTTTTATGCCTGACAGCTGGGGTGGTTCGTGGGGACGACGCGTCCCCTGCGTTAGGAGAGGGCTCCGCTGCGGGGCTGGATTCTGATGTCTCGATCCTCTCTCCCCTTCAATAGCACTCCTGCTTTAGTTTCCGCAAGCTCTGGGCTTTCACGGGGCCGGGCTTTCTGATGAGCATTGCCTACCTGGATCCGGGCAACATCGAGTCGGATTTACAGTCCGGGGCTGTCGCGGGATTTAAGGTCAGTGCAGAAACATACACATTAAGCACTGCAAGTTGTGCAAACCACGTACCCGTCCGCGTTTTAGGGCAGGAGTACTGGTAGTGCTGCTGTTGCTGCTGAGCTGAAAACACCCCGGAGAAGGGGAAGGGGAGAGTGAAGGCGCTCTCGTATGCCCTCTCCAGCAGTGACTCCTGCCTTTATATGCATGTGGGTCCTTCCTGTGCCAGCTTTGGGCATGTAAAACAGCCCCCGAATGTCAATAATGTGTATTTTAAAAGGCCTGTGATTCCTAAAGGTGCATGCGGGGCGCTGGCGTCCTAGGGGACCTGGGACCTTGTTCGTGGCCGTCGTTTCTTGCTGCCCCAGGGCACCCACTCCTGCCTTCGTGTCTCCCTCAGCTGCTCTGGGTCCTGATGCTGGCGACGATCATCGGGCTGCTCCTGCAGCGGCTGGCCGCGAGGCTGGGGGTGGTGACGGGGCTGCACCTGGCCGAAGTGTGCCACCGGCAGTACCAGAAGGTGGGTGACCTCCCGGTCCTCGGCGGTACGGAGGGGCTCTTCGGGTAGTGCCGCGGGCCTGGGTCGGCGTGGTTCTCTCACCCGAGGCTGGCGGGTCTCACGGGACTCGTGAAGTGTCACGGCTGCCTGTTAAGTGCCAAACCCTCCTCAGGAGAAAGTGTTCCGGTTGCCAAAATACCTTTTCGTCGTCACACCTTGCTTTACTGTCCAAGAAGCTGGGGGGGTTAAGTTGATTTCTTCTGGTTTGGCTCACAGTTGGAAGAAAGGCAGGTTTAGAGGAAGATTTTTAATTGCGGCCCTAACGTAGCAGCAGCGAAGGGCTCGTTAAGAACCTGGGCTGTTGGGGGAGCAGACGGGGGACGCTTCAGGTCCCCGTGGTGTCTTCCCCATCTTGGAAAAAGGAAAGCACGAGGAGGGAGGTGGGGTGAATGTCCTGGCATTTGCCAGTGAATTGCAGGGTCAGGAATAAAACCCAGGATTTCAGCTTCTCTGCTGGGACTGCTGCCTCCCGAAGCTGAAATACTCGTTGCTTAAATAAGCTCAAGGAATCACGAGGAGAGAAATGGCCCTTTAGAACAAGACCATTCCGTGGCTGTTACATTTCCCTGCTTAAGAAATCTTCACGGCTTGCGTAAGAAAGGGCTCTGCGTCTCGTTCAGCTGGAGATGAGTGAGGCTGTCCCTTGGGAAAGGGCTGTGGGGAAGTCGGTGATCTCCCCAGCTCGGTGCAGTTTGATGTTTCTCATCCAACACCTGAGACTTTGTCATTGGTCTGACCGCGTGAAATATCGTCCGATGCTCATTTCCAGCGCCTCGGTACACGGAAACGTCCGGTTTCGCTCTTGCAACGAGCGAAATCTATTGAGACGAGTAATTTAGATTATATAAGTGACCTGGGAACCTCCTCCAGCGATTGCCACAGGTAACCTGGGTTTCTGCTCTGGACCAGCCATAAAATGGCAGTCGCCGACGTGTTTTCCACACCCACGGCCGTAGCAAGGCAGGGAAAAGAGAGCGTTCGTGAGCGCTCGATCGCCACAACCCCGTGCTCATCTAGGAAATGAAAGGGGGAGGGGGTTTTCCCTCTTCGTAACGGCTTTGGATCTTTCTGTACCTCTAGGTTCCTCGGATTATCCTGTGGCTGATGGTCGAACTCGCCATCATTGGATCCGACATGCAAGAAGTCATCGGCTCGGCGATTGCTATTAACCTCCTGTCCGTGGGGAAGTGAGTTGGGTTTGCCGTCAGAGGGCGGCGGGAAATGAGTGCTCGCCTCGAGGCTTAAGAAAGTGGCGCTGTGTGTGCCAAAAGGGACTCATTTCTTTCCTATAAATCTTCCGAAATAAGCTCTTTGCGGAGGGTGATTCATCCAGGCTGTGCTAGCGCCCTGTCTTAGATGACTCAGCCTCTGGGGGCTGTTTCTTTTTTTCGGCTATAAGGAGAACTGCGGGTTCTGGCTTTTATTTTAGCTGTAACTGATACGCGCCCAAACTTGGGCTGCAGCTTTCCTGGGAGATTTTATATTCCTAATAAAGGACTACCAGAAAGATGTCCTTTTCGGCCAGGAAGATTGGAAATGCGAATGTAACGGGAAGCTACGATTTTGTACCAAGTAGCTATTAAAGTCTCGCTCACTCCTGTCGTTCTCAGCGTGGACACGGGATTTGCTCTCGAGATGCGGGGAGAGAGAGCTCTTACCTGAGCTGTCTGTGCAGGAAACAAACCTACGGTCCCTTGCCCTGCGCAGCCAAACGTCTTGTCAGACTGCAAACAAACCCTTGGGCAATGCGGTTCCATCCCCAAGCAAGTGCCCTAAATAAAAAGAGGTTTTGGACTCTGAAGTGTTATTGTGGCTGGCGGACGAGGTCGAAGTGTTTTGTAAGCTGATGTCTGCTCTTGCCTGTCCCTCGCAGGATCCCGCTGTGGGGCGGCGTGCTCATCACCATTGCTGACACGTTCGTGTTTCTCTTCCTGGACAAATATGGTAATTTCTCCTCCTGAATTCCGGAAACTAAATCTGAGATTCAGCTTTTCTCAGTTTGCTGATGGTCCTTTTTCTCCTCGCAGGCTTGCGAAAACTGGAAGCGTTCTTTGGTTTTCTGATTACCATCATGGCTCTAACGTTTGGATACGAGGTACCTTCGCCATCTCTCTCTGCCTTTCCACCGGAGCTGTTCGGTGACACGTTCCCTCTCCCCCCACCACTACTCCCGTGCCCGACCGCCAAAACAGGGGGGGTGGACACTTAAAATCAAGGCCGGTTGAAGCTGGGTCTGTGTTTGCGACGTGTGGCCGTCATCCGGCTCATACCCTGGCCTGCAGCGCGGGCTGTGTTGAACGCTGCCTCTCCCATGCGGGGACCGGCACGTGCTGCTCAGCGCAGCGTCCCCGGTTTTATTACACAGCAGACGACGGCACGTTGTCGTTTTGCTTTTTACCAAAGCGGCCACGTTTTGGCTTTCGGGTACCTTCAAACGGGCAGCCCCGGCAGCTGCGCGTCACGCTACAAACACCCGTGTTTCTTCTGTCTCTGTGCCCAGTATATCACGGTAAAACCCGACCAGGAGAAGCTGCTAAAAGGGCTGTTCATCCCATACTGCCAGAACTGCGGCACGCCCCAGCTGGAGCAAGCCGTGGGAATCGTGGGCGCTGTTATCATGCCGCACAACATGTACCTGCACTCTGCCTTGGTCAAGGTAAGCGGCTGCGCTGGTTAACCTAGGCAGCACACACGGGGGGGGGCGCGCCGGGAGGCCTGAAGCGCTCGAGCA